TAACATAACATAAACACACTGAAGTGATTCAATATTTAAACTTCATAGTTGTTTGATTTAGTGTCCTTTGTCCTTGAATATTTGGTCCAACCGTTGAAGTAGAATTGGATCTGAAAAATAAAGAATATCAAATTAATATAATATTTGCAATCAATTTTTCGATGACATAAATTAATAACTATGTGTATAAACATACACATACCTCCTACCGGGGAAGGGCGCATTATTGGTTCAATATGACGTACTAGTTCTTCAGTTGGACATCCAATGTCACTTGGATATACTGTGTTATGCAGTATATGTTATGTAAAATGGCAGTAAAGTCATATGTCAAAACTCATCTAATTGTTGCCCTTTGCAGCCATCAACTTTGGGTACCATTGGTTTTGTGTCATTGTTGACATCACTTGATAGTAATGTTGACGACACACAATTGTCTTCCTCAACACAATGGTTTGGGAACATTGTTTTTTTAATGAAATACTCTGTCAACAATGAATATTACATTAGTTTTCAATTGCATTACATTGATGTATACTAATAATTTCTTGTTCAACTTGCAGGACATAAGTGTTAATATCTACTACGTAGAATTTTGCAGTGTTATTTAGACCACAACTAACTTAGTAACGTTTCAATGACTTTCAACTGCACATGTTAACAATATAACAATGTTGATTGACGAGTGTTTCTTTTGATTCAATCTCTTGTTGGCTGGATAACGTCATCTTACATGTTCAACAGAAGAATATATGATAGGACATAAACGTGCAACAGTAGTGTAGACCATATATTCTGATTTTGTTAGAGTTGTGGATGTAAATATAACAATATTATGATTATGACACTTATTACAATGAACTTGGTCATCATACTGCAATGTAACAACAAATGTAATTTCTCCAATGCATTTATCAGTAGTGGATGATGGTCCATACATTTACGTAACAATCATCGATTGTATATTACGTCGAATAGAAGACATGTAAAAGAATAACATGATTCGATATTTCATGTCTTCCTTATATTGTGTTACGAAATTTGTTTACTAAAAATCACATTGCATGATAACAACAAACTACCTTCAAAAAATGCGAACCTAATTATAGAGATTGCAAGATATAACAAACCAATAATATTAAAATAGTACAATCTTAATTTGCATTGTTGTTTATATGTCTAAAAAAATTAAAATTTACAAGTTATTCATTGTTACAATCCTTCAACTTCATTTTAACAAATTGTTGCACCAGTTCGTTGTACACATCACACTATATAATTGCATCATCTCTTTCCTTTCTAGTGGCTTGAAGCTCCGTTTGAAGAGCTTGACACTGCACCAACAGGTTTGACATATGACCTGATGAAGAACAGGAGCTCTTGCCTTTATCCTCAGCCTGACACCGAAAAAAGAAAAATAGTGTCAAAGAGACTGAGGATTATAATGAAACAACACTATAATGCCATTTTAAAAACAATTTGACAAACATTAGTAATGGACCAAATATTAGTAATGTAAACAAACACATAAAATCAATAATTATAGCAAGTAATGAAACTTACTGATCTGATTTGTTGTCTCATTTATCAGGTCAATTGTCCACCAACATTTTTATCAATACTAGCTATAATCTTGCAGTAGAATTCCCAAGATACATGTGTATGATTAATAGGTTTTTGACCAAATGGATGTTGCTCTACATACTTAGGAACATTTTCAGCATTTGACAATCCATCTAGATATTCCCGCAGATCACCTCCAGCAGCTAGTGAATTATCATTTTTATTGCAAGGATCAAATGTAAGTGGAAAGACTGAGTTGTGCGGAGGATTAAGTAATGCTTTGTAAAGAGAATCATCCAACAGTAATGTGTTGGATTCATTGTAGTATCATTTCTTCCATGGAAGATTAGGATCACAACGCTCCCAAATTTTCCTCAAATCCTTAAAAACCAGTGGCTTTTTTTCATTTTCTAGGGTCATGAAATGAGTGGTAGTACAATAAGAATCATCCCAGCAAAAAAGCAACTAGTTCTTCATATTTGGCATCAAATACTCAATCACCTCCTCAGTATTTTTCTTGTTTCTTGAAGTCCATATATCGACTTCAAATTGCACGAAGCAGAACTTTAGAAACTCAACATAAAAAGACCTCTTGAATATTGCTTGACGTCGAATGAAATTATTTGGATTGAGATTCTTTGGCGGGAACTGAGTTATACACGCAAGCAACCCATTTACATCAAGAACAAGAGGCTTTTTCTTCAAATGTCTTGGGATGTTCACTGCATCTATAACACCAATAGTTAATTTCCTTACTGCATTACATTCCATCTTATGTTTCTTATGGAGGGGGCCAAACCTTACCTGATAAATTAGTTGGCTGCCTCTGAGGTGCAACTAGAAACTTATAAATCTCGCCAATTTGTGCAGCTAGAACATCAAGTCGCTGGTCTTGTTGGTCCATGCGAGTCCGCATATCATTCATAAAGGCAACCATGTATGGTGGTGCATTTAAGTTAAGAGGAGGAGTAGAGGAGCCATAATCTTCTTCTTCATGTTCAGGAAGCTCTTCTTCATCATGAAGGACACTAGGAGGTTGTCGAACATCGTAGTACACTTCTACATTAGACTTAATGCCCATCTGAGATAAAATTTCTTGGCCAAACATTTTAAATGTTTCTGGATCTTCCTTCTCTCGTTCATCAAGAGGAACATCAAAGTGCTCAAATATTTTAGTAAGAAACATAGCATAAGGCATACCACCACTTTTGCTTTTAGCTGCCTTAAGCATATGATTCATCACACAATAACCCCAATTAATGGCTATACCAATAAGCATTATCCAGATTGAAAAAACATCTTTATCTAAAAGATATGCATGATTACTAGAACGAGGAAGTAAACCCGTTACCAAAGCATAGTGGAGAAGACGATTTTATGTGTGTAAATAGCCTACTGTGGTCCCTTTCAGGGGACTATCATCTACCAACAGAGATGCCTTCGCCTCGACCTTGACCTTGTCGAATTTTGTGGACATAACCTACTCTTTACTAGGTCGTTCACCACTCAATTTCAGACCATCACAAAGTAGACTTGTCAACTCTTTCCAGAGAGTTTGGTCGATTTTAATCGATTTTAATCTCAATCCCTGTCACTTCTAACGTTACAACTCTTTCTTCGAGACTTAGGTTACTGTAGAATTCTCAAATAAGATTTGGATACACTGCTTTGTTGATTTCCAAGAAGGTAGTCAGCTCTACATCCTTCAAAACTGTAATGAAGTCAAATCCGTTATTAACAAAGTATTGGGTGTCAAGGACCTTTGGGGCTATCACCTCCTTCGTGGTCACAGTTTGGGTACTTGAAGTAGTCGCTTCTGAGTGGGTGCGCTTGGAGCTTTTTCTTTTGCCAGCCATGGTTGATATTTACGACTTTTGAGATAGCCAATAGTGAACGAAAACATAGAAGAGAGAATCTACGAGTAATTAGAAAGCAAAGAAGATATTAACCTGGATTGTTGTTGTATGCTACTTCTTTTAAATGCAAACGAAATCAAACAAGATGAACCATGAAATTAAAAATCAAAACCGAAATCAACAACCATATTAAACCCTCAACCAATTGAACAGAACCCTATATTAAACATAGACGAACCAGAGCCGGGAGAGAACGAATGTTTCTTTTGCGTGCACCGACGAGAGAGAGGCAGAGCGAAATTATAATCGATTATTATTAAATATGACAGATTATGTAAAACTATAATCCCTTAGCACAAACTATGATCGATGTTCTCCAATTATAATCAATCATTTTCACTTATAATCGGTTATAAAAAATTATGATTGATTATTATCCAATTATAATCGATCATTTTAACATATATACGATTATCGCAGATTATGATCAAATATTTTTTCAATTATAGTCAATCATTTTAACTTATAATCCATTATCGCAAATTATGATCGATTATTTTCCAATTATAATCGATCATTTTAAAACTCGCTCAAGCGAAAAACACATCGCTTGAGCGAGGAGACCTGCAAAAATTAGGGATTCTCGGGTTCTGTCTCGCTCAAGCGATGTCATCATCGCTCGAGCGACAAGTGATTCATATATGTGGTGTTCCAAGTTATATTATGTGACTAACTACGTTGGACGTTTCGTCTGTGGGTCAACACTCGTTCAAGCGAGGAATCCATTGCTTAAGCGACGAAACCTTAAAACAATGGGACTCTCGGGTTTTGTCTCGCTTAAGCGACGTTATCATCGCTTGAGCGACAAGTGATTTATATATGTGGTGACCCAAGTTATATTATGTGGCTAATTGCATTTGACGTTTCATATGTGGGCAATACTCGCTCAAGCGAGAAATCCATCGTTTGAGTGAGGAAACCTTAAAAAAATGGGGACTCTCGGGTTGTTTCTCGCTCAAGCGACGTTATTCTCGCTCGAGCGACAAGTGATTCAAATATGTGGTGACCCAAGTTATATTATGTGGCTACCTAAGTTATATTATGTGGCTAACTGTGTTGGACGTTTCATCTAAGCGAGAAATTCATCGCTTGAGCGAGGAAACCTTAAAAAAATGGGGACTCTCGGGTTGTTTCTCGCTCAAGCGACAATTGATTCATATATGTGGTGACCCAAGTTATATTATGTGGCTAACTGCGTTGGACATTTCGTTTGTGGTCAACACTCGTTTAAGCGAGGAATCCATCACTTGAGTGAGGAAACCTTAAAAAAATGGGGACTCTTGGGTTGTTTCTGGCTCAAGCGACGTTAGTTCTCAAGTGGCAAGTGATTCAAATATGTGGTTATTCATGTTACATTATGTGGCTAACTGCGTTGGACATTTCGTCTGTGGTCAACACTCGCGCAAGAGAGAATTCCATCGCTTGAGCGAGCAGACCTGAAAAAAATGGGGATTCTCAGATTGTGTCTCGCTCAAGAGACAAGTGATTCAAATATGTGCTTACCCATGTTACATTATGTAGCTAACTGCGTTGGACCTTTCATCTGACAGTGGTCAATTTTCGCTGGAGCGAGGAATGCTGCAACTAAGGGGTATTCTTGGGTTCTATATCGCTAAAGAGATGGAGTTGACACACGAGCGAGAAGTGCTTGAAATATGTGTTGACTCGAGTTATATTACGTGGCTACGTGCTTTTGTAAGCAGTTTGGCATTTTATTTTTCTTATTTGTTACTAAATTTTTTGTGTTGGACCAATAGACCAGGCCTGATGAAGTACATGAAATAATGAAGGTTGGACCAAGGGCTGAAGTTGCATGAGACGTGACACGCAAATTTCAATCTGTTTTTTGTTAAGCGCATTCTTTACAACTTCTATTAAGCATGAAGTTATCTGTTATGTACAAAGATGATACATAAACCTATACATCTTTCCTACAATAAATCTTATCACTTGTACAATTTCCATATGATAGTTTATATTGTTCTCTTCCCTTGTTCTTTTAATCTCAATTTCTTTTATATTACATATCAACATCTTGCCATCACAAATTCAAATGGAAATTAGTGAGCATTTTGTTTTCTGGAACTAAGTTATACTTGGCCGATTATTGATGTTACTATGATGTTTACTTGAGCAGTGAAAGAGTGGGTGGTGGCCATGCTCCAGATATCATCAAAATATGTGGTATGAAGAATGTTCTACCCTCATCAACCAATCCAACACGCCCTTTAACAGTTAATACTATAGAGGAGCATCTTCATCTTCATATGTTGGTAACATATAAATCTGGTAGTAATTACGTGTATTTTGTACAATTGTGGTTCTTAATATAGACTCTCTGTTACATGCAGATGGTCTACATCATCTGAATAGGGATATTGTGGAACTAGAAGGGTAAAACCCAATGAATAATGTAATTGTCAACATAAACAAAAATGATACAAAAAATAGTAAGCATGGTCCAAAATCAGTCAATTGTACAAAGTGTCCACTTGTTAATGTCATAATATTTAACATTTAAATAATCCATAACCAACTTAACGGTTATATTATATATGAATAAACTGTACAACATTGATCAATGAAGATGAACAAATAATCAAATACAATATCTATATTTTTATTCCTAGATGGGGATGTTAACTCCTGATTCAATAACCATGACTTGTCGATGAAGATTTTGAGGATGAAGTACCAATCTGCATACATATTCTTCTCGAAATTTCTGAACTTGCTCCTGTAAAATATGAAGAATGTCATAATAAATTATACTCATAGTAATGAAAAATAAAACATTAATAAAATGACTTTAATGTTTATCGATGTGTAATGAGGCATGCTTTTCCCATTCACTTTGCTCACACCATCCCACAACTCCATATATTTTAAAACAAACAATCCACAATCATAACTGCACAATTGAATGTAGTCATTACACACATTACATACAACATTTTGCAAAAAAAAGTTCTACGATAAGAACATACTAACATGTTTGGTTGAATTGGCAAGTCCTCCTTTGTAACCTTAAGTTCTCCAATGGTACTCGATGACTTTGTTTCCAACAACAATAATAGATGCTTAAAACATTGCAACTGCTCACAATATTACATTATTCGCCAAATAAACATAGCTCTGAATTAACTATATTACTTACGTAAACAACAACTTAAAACAAATTTTTACCATAGCTCTATGAATTGGTTTTCGTTATCTATTATCATGGCCCAATGAATCTAATATAAACAGTTCTCCATCCTTACATTTCAGCACATAACACCACCAATGACCATTGTGTACAGTGGGAGAAAAAATCTGAAATAGAAAAAACTCTAGTTAATTGAATTTTATCTTGACAAAAATATAAATTTTAGGCAAAGTATAAATACTCACAAATTCACAACTCAATAAATGCTGCAATGGAATAATTGTATTTGGATAGAAAAGTGAGAAGTCTTTCATTGTCTACGTTGATGCTTTACCTTTGCGAATATACATTTGTTCAATCACATGTGTCTATCAAAAGGCACAAAAATAAATGACAATCAATCATAATATACCTATATGCAACTTAACTTTTTAAATGCACAATAAACATACCGCAAACAAAGGATTGAAACAAAAACGTTGTATGCTGCCAACAATGACATTCATTTGGTCATACATCATTACACTACTTGCAAACAACATCACCTAATAACCCATATGATATTAATAAATATAATTTTTAAAAATATATTGAATCACACTTTCATTAAATAAACAAACTTACCATATTGTCAATATGACCCCTTGGCTTTAATGTCTGCAAGTTCTACATAGTCAATATTTGCCCATGCACTTCCACTACAACACCTGAAATACAAGAATGGATTACATTTCTAATTATACTAATTAAATTGAATGAATCAAATAAATTTGATTATATACTAACCTGTTTGGATTATCAAGGTTGGTGGTGCAAAACTTATACAATTGATACATGTTATCATCCCCACCAATCCCCTTCGCCTTTATCGATGACTTATTCAAGTGAATCCCAATTTGTTCTTTCAAAATTTTAACCTCACGTTCAAGTTGAATGATCCTTTTTTTATTTTCTTCTGTTTTACATCTCCATATGCGCTGGTTAGATAAAAGTTGTTGCAAGTCACACGAGGCACCACTGGAGGAAGGTGTGTCCGCATTCTCATTTTGTGAATGCGTCAAAGCTTCTTGCACAACTTTCATTGTCTGATCTTCTACGAGACAGTGCCCAATTCCATACAATCTACCAAAAGGAAAACTTTATATGTTAGGAACATAATATAATAAGTCCACATTTTAAATAAAAATTTATATATGTTGTACACAAAATTTCTTACATTGTTTGAAATGAATGCACATTCTATTTTAGACCTTCGAATGTTCACTTTCAACCATTCAAGAAAATGCGGAAAACAAATCTTTCGTGGTGGATCAGTAGGCAAAGACAGGTGTTCCACTGCCCAGATCTATTACACAATACAATGTCATCAGTCACAATAATTTCATATCAACTAATAAATCAATCATTTGTAAGAATTATAGCATCATTAGGTACAAAAGTTACCTGTAAGACAGTCACACAACCAGCAACGTACAATTGAGAAGCATTCTTTTACTCGTTTAACTTTGTACTAGCACGATGCAAACTATTAACTAATAAACCGTGCACAACATTTCCCCAATTATAATTATCTAATGCCTCCAAATCATCTAATAAACTAAAAGGAACACTATGAACAATGCGGGATGTGCGAGGAAAGTAAAAATCTGCCCACCCAAGTAAGATATAAAGCCTACAAAAGTCAACTACATATTTATCATGCTTAATTTTTTTTTCTTTCAGCTTCCTAACTATGTTTGTTACTGTTATTGGTTCTTCTTCGTCGAATAAATCTTTTACTAAACATGAACCACTATCTTCTAAAAACACTACCTCCCCCCTTATACGTAAACCTAACGAAAAACAAACATTTAAAGGGGTGAATGAGATAAGATATTGTTTTATTCTAAAACAATTATCACTAACTGACCATCGACTAACTAGTTCTCTTATAACATTGCTAGATATTTGCAATGACTCTTGTAGTTGAAGAAGTCATTTAAACGGAGTTTCTTCAATAGCTGCTCGTTGATTTTTAGTCAACTTTGAATTTATATCAGCTATATACTTTGTCTCAATCTTGTGTCTTAATCTTATCTGCACATATAACATGTATAACATATATAACATACATAACATATAACAAATTAAATATTTAGTAAATCACTTTTCATAAAATAACTATAATTAACATGCACATACCTTTTTCTCGTCACGACGGTCTCTTTTTGCAGACATTTTTTTCCCAAACTAATCTTGTTACAAATTATTAAAATTTAACTTACAAGGACAAAATAGTAAAAAAAAAAAGTCCAAACATGCTACACATAATTTTGGTGAAATTGTGTATTATGCAAACGTGGGCGTAAATTTTGGGCGTATTATACAAAATGTTTGTGATGCAAATATACTTCTTCATTGTAACCATCCCCGTCCCCGACTTTTTTAACCATCCTCGTCCACGTCCTCGATCCTCGCTAGGGTTAGAAATTAAGTCCCCATCCCCGTCTCCGCTGGGTTTCGGGTTCCCCACCCTCGCCCGTCCGCGATCTATATTATTTTTAAAAAGATAATTACATTTATAAAAAATAAATTTACTATCTATTTTTATATATAAATAAATATTTATAATTTTATAATTTATAATTATTATTAATTAAATATACATTTTAATTTATTATATTTATATTAAAATATGTATGTAAAAGAAATATTTAATCATTTTTTATTTATAACATTATTATTATTATTATAACACTGTATTCAAATATTTGAATATTTATAACATTATTATTATAATAATGTATTCAAACATTTGATTATATATATATATATATATAAGTTAATTCATTTTTAAGTTGTCATTTAAAAATATGAAATATATAGTTTATAAGAAAATATTTAATAAGTTAATTCTTATTCAATTAGTTCGAAGTAATAAGAGTTTAAATTATCAATTCCTTTAAAATACAATTATTTTATTAAGACAAAATTTGATATATGATAAATAAGAATAATAAAATAAAAAAATATGACATAATAACACCTAATAAATATAAATTATAAATAAAATAATATTAGTTACTACTAAGATTTATGTAAAATATTTAGAAAAAGATTAAGAATAAAAAAATTAACTTTGTGTTCATCAAATTGGTTGAAAAGATTGAAAAAAAAACAAATTGATGGGAGGGATTAAGGAAATGTGAAAAACTGAAAGGTAAGAGAAAGAATAATGTAATAAATTAATTGATATAAAAAATTAAAAAAGACAAAAAAATTTAAAAGTGGGTAGAAGAAATTTTTTTTGGTGAAATATAAAAAAAATGACATTATATGTAATAGAAAAAGAAAAGAAAATACTTTTAAAATATTAATATTTTAAAATTTAAATTTAAATATAAAGTCGGCGCATGAGACTGGGTCGGGGATGTTTAAAGCGGGAAAACTCGAACCCGTTCCCGCCCCAATCAACTCGAAGTTTTCTCCGTCAAATTCGGGTGGGAACGGGTTTAATTGTTATCCCTAAATTTGAGGTTGTGTTTTGTAAATCGCCCTCTTTTATACTTGTCCGTGATTCTTCTCTAATACTATCAAAGCCTTTTCATATTTGCTGCTCACAATACTCAATTTTATCCAGATAATTAAAATAATAAATAAAATAAAATAAAAATTATATAAAATAATATAATAAAATTAATAAAGAAAGAATATTTTAAAAATATTTTCTTCAACCTCCTATTTTTCTCCCTAGAAATTACACTCATATTCTTTATATATTTTTCTTGTCCTTTAAATCTCTCTGGCCTACTACTCACCCTCTTATTTTTCTTTTAAGATATTATTTTTGTTCCTGTTCTTCCTCTTTATATAAAAAAAAAACAAAAAGGAACCGACCAAAAAGAGTAAAAGAGAAAAGAAGAAAAAAAAGACACGGTACAAGAAGAAAATCTTAAAATATTTTTAATTCCTCTTCTTTCTAATTTTATTTTAATAATTTATTAATTTTGACATTTTTATTTCTATGGTGATTCTTAAATTATTATAAAGTTTTACCCCTTTAATTAATATTACTGTTTCTGCACATGAAATTTTATAAACCCACATTTGTGCCTCCACTCCGTTTAGCCCTAATATGCCCCAGTCTACCCTAATTCCCCTTCTCCCCACGCGGCACACATTCACTGCGGCAAAACCCTTCCTTCCCCCACCTTCATCATAGCACCCAATCCACTCTCCTTTTTCTTTTCACCTTCAAATTCATCAAACCACGCGGGCTCACAGCCACACCTCACTCTCTCATTCTCCCTCACGCTGCGGGCCCACACTCACACTTCACTCTCTCATTCTCCCTCACGTTGCGGGCCCACGTCCACTGACCTCATTCACACACACCCGACACTCTCATCCTTCACCCCCTCTCCTTCACTTCCCCTTCACCCACTCAGCTCCCTCCACTGGTCTCATCCACACCATTGAACCATTTTCTTCAGCACCTGTGGATCCCTCACACTCACCTAATCTCCATTCTTCTTCACCGTGCACTCATGGAGGAAGCCCGTCAATCTCTCTTAGCCACCAATCCCCTCACCTTCGTTACACCTCTTCCATGGCCCCATCTCATTTCACCTTCACTCCCAATCACCGCGTCTAGCCTCACCAGAAACGACCACTTATCTTCCACCTGTAGCCACCGTGAACCGCTGTTCGTGGCCACAATGGTCGCGCCACCATCTTGCCGCCGCGCCTCACCACCTCCCCTTTATCGAAACCACCGTCAGCCAAACATCCATCGCGCATCATCTCGTGCCTGCCACCATCACTGCAAACCCGAATCCTAGCTTCTAGCCGCGATTGTCGAGCATCCACCATCGCACCTCCTCTAGCCACAGCGAATGCAATTCGCGCCCCCAACTACACCTCACAATACCCATTTTCGTTCACCAACCTTCCTAGCCACCATCGGCAGCCACCGTGCCGTTCTCGCATCAAACGCCTCTCAGCGACCCACCTTCCCATTCACGCCGCAGCTGCCGTCGGTGGCATGCTCAGAGCAGCACCGAGTCATTCCCTCAAATCAAAGGCCGCAAGCCAGCTTCCCTATGGAGATTTAACAAGAGACCAGGGATCCATGCTTTGGGTCTCTGTTTTTGTTTTTCTTTTAATTGTTTTGCCTGGTTCTGATCTGGGATTGATTCCTGATTGGGGTTGTTTTGTTTTGATGGTTTAGTTTTGTTTCTCTTTGAGATTCTTGTCTCTGATGGATTGGGGTCTCCTAGATTTTGACCACCACATTGTTTAGTTTATGTTCGATGAAGAATTGGATTACATTGAATATAATTCGATTTTAGGTTTGTTTGGTGCCTGGGTCGAGAATGGTCCGATTCAAGTTTGAATATTGATGTTTGGTTCTAGATTGAGGTTTCCGCCGGGATTAGGTTGGACTGATTTTGATTACAACCCAATTTGGTTTTGGACTGGATTTTTTTATCAGATCCCGATTTGGCTTGGTCTTAGATGGTTTGGTTTGGAGTTCACATGGGAATATCTGGGTTTGGTTTGTAGTCGTCCGGGTCAAGATGAAATGCATCTGATTCTAATTTGGCTTTGTCAAGTTGTGCGTTTAGTGTTTTATTGGGTAATGTTTGTTCTATTATACATCTTAATTTGGCTAGTGGATTTCTTTTATTGTTACGTTAGACTTTATTATCCGATTGAATTGTGTTGGCATTCTTTGATTGGACCGCGTGAGTTGTGACGTTTGAGATTAATGATTTGGTTATTTGAGGAGGTTATATATATATATATATATATATATATATATATATATATATATATATATATATATATATATATATATATATATATATATATATATATATATATATATATATATATATAACTGTATTTTTTGTTGTTTGTATTTGTTAATTTGGGTGTGTGAAGAGAGAGTCGTTAACGTACCTAAAAATATTATTATTGTATGAAAAATTTTAAGTAGATTTTTTTTTCATATATTACACTAAGATAGTATTTCTCACATTTGTTCTTTTAATAAAATATGATTCTATATTTCTTTTATTCAGATTATTTATAGATTGTAAATCATTTTATATTTAGACTAAACTTAATTATTATAATTTGAACATTTAATTATTATTTTTTTCTATTTCATTTTTCTTTAAAAATATGTTGTTTAAGTTTATCTTCTTTATTTATTCTTTTCTTTATTTTAATAATAATATAAAAAATTAATACTAAAAAATATTAATGTTAAATAAGATTATGATAAATGAATAATACATTGGATAAGGGATATTTCATTATTATTTTAATAATAATAATAATTGGTAGATATTGTTTAGATATTATTTAATATTGTTAAGATATTGTTAGATATTAACCATAATATCAAACAATATCTTCTGTTTATTCTCTTATTTTTAGTTATTTTTTTAGTTGTATCTCTCTACTATAAATAGACTACCCTATGTGTGATTTATACACAAGGGAGATTAATCCCAAATTCTATTTCTTCTATATTCAACATTGTATTTAGAGCTTAAGGTTATTTTGAATTTTTTTTTTGCCTTTGACCACTATTGAAGCTGCCACCACCGCCGCTATCGCTGTCGGTTATTTGGTAGTGTGAAAGTGAATGTCTAGGAAAGTTCTGACAAGGAAAGACTTGGTAATTAAGCGTGTTCATTAATGACCCACCTCTCTTCCCGGGAACTTACCTAGTGTACTTGGTTCATGCCATTGTCACTATCGCTTCCGCCCTTTATGAGTTCTTCCACTCCTTTTAGTACTTCCAATTCAGTCGAAGCTGCGTCGATCCTTCCATCTACACTAACTATGTTAATGTGCACTTATCCATTGACAAGTTAACTGACCCTAATTATGCCACATGGTCATCAGACGTCAGATTATGGCTTAAGAGTCAGAAGTATCTTGATCATCTTGCCCCGAAAGCACCTACTCTCACTCCTGGTGAGGAAGATCGTTGGGACACCATTGATGCTCAATTATGCGTGGTTCTCAAGGGTACTCTTGATCCTTCGTTAAAACAAATTTTTCGTTCTTACGAAACATGTGCCAAAATTTAGGAACATGCCAAGTTATTATACACCAATGATACTCAACGTCTCTATGATGTCTGTTCTAAATTTGTAGATGTTATTGCCTCTAAACATCAAGATTCTATGACTGATTATATAGGCAAAATTCATGTTCTTTTTCATGAGTTCAATGAGTTATTGCCTCCTTCCCCCGACCCTGCCACCGAGATAAGACAACGATCAAAGTTCTTCATGCTAGGGGCATTACACGGACTTGCTGATCAATATTCACATATCCGTGATCAGATTTTGGGTTCTCATGTTGTCCCCACCTTGACATCGACCTGCTCCACTCTTTTGCGTATATCAGCAAAACCCAACCCTGACACACCTGCTTCTGTTAATGATTCTTCTGCATTGGTACCTCACCGTGATGATCGAACTCGCCCTCGCAAACAGGGAAAAAGACGTCCTAAATGTGAACATTGTGGCAAGCTAGGTCACAAGATTGACCAGTGTTATGCATTACATGAGTGTGAACATTGTGGCAAGCTAGGTCACAAGATTGACAAGTGTTATGCATTACATGGTCGTCCTACTCGATCTACTGCAGTTGCTCAGACTGATCTTTCCCCACCTTTATCTGCTAAGGATCCTCCTTCTTTTATTTCATCGAGACACACCTGCTATGTTCAACAAATTTCTCAAATGGTATAAGGATCAACAGTCTTCTAGTTTCACTGTGTACTGTCGCACACACAGGTACATCTTTTGTCTGGTCCGACCCAATCTTCTTCGGTCCTTGGGTTTTTGATTCGAGAGCCACTAATCATATTACTGGTAACAAATCTTTGTTCTCCTCTTTATCCTCTCCCGATCCTTTACCTTTTGTTACACTAGGCTGATGGCTCTAGAGTATCATCTCATGGTGTTGGAACTGTTAAACTTTTCCCTTCTTTAACCATTGATAATGTCCTTTATGTCCCTGGGTCTCCTTTTAACCTGTTATCCATCAGTCGTCTAACTCGTTCTCTTGATTGTGTTGTTTCTTTTACCAACAATTCTGTGTGTTTACAGGACCAGAGTTCGAAACAGGTGATTGGCACAGAATGTGAGTCTCATGGTCTTTATCATCTTCGTCCCTTTACACATGTTGGTGCAGTTATAGAGTCTCCCTCTCTTCTCCATGCTCAGTTAGGTCATCCAAGTCTTGCCAAGTTACAATAACTTGTCCCTACCTTATCTAAATTGTCTAGTTTGGCATGTGAGTCGTGTCAATTAGGCAAGCATAGTCGTACTTCCTTTCCTCATAGTGTCACACGTGGTGCTTACTCCCCTTTTGCCGTGGTTCACTCTGACATTTGGGGACCTAGCCGCGTTAAGTCTACTTTAGGTTTTCAATACTTTGTTACTTTCATTGATGATTATTCCAGATGCACTTGGTTATTTTTGATGAAAAATCATTTTGAATTATTTCATATATTTCAAACTTTTTTCAATGAAATTCAAACTCAATTCGGTGTTTCTATAAGAGTTTTGCGCAGTGATAATGGTCGTGAATATCTTTCTCATTCTTTTAAACAATTCATGGCTTCTCGTGGTATTTTGCATCAAACTTCTTGTGCTTATACACCTCAACAAAATGGTGTAGCTAAACGTAAAAATAGACATCTTATTGAAACAACTCGCACTCTTTTAATTCATGGAGAGGTTCCTCAACATTTTTGGGGTGATGCTCTTCTTACTGCATGTTATCTTGTTAATCGCATGCCATCTTCGGTTCTAAATAATAAAATACCTCATTCCATTTTATTCTCTCATGAACCACTTCATCCCTTACCTCTAAAAGTTTTCGGGTCTACATGTTTTGTTCATAATTTTAGTTCTAGTCTTGACAAGCTTTCTCCTAGATCACATAAATGTGTTTTCTTAGGGTTTACAAGATCACAAAAAGGATACAAATGTTTTTCTCCTTCTCTTAACCGTTATTTTGTGTCTGCAGATGTCACCTTTGATGAGTTCTCTTTTTATTTTAAAAGTCAATCTTCACCTCTGTCTCCATCCAATCTTATCAACACTCCAGTACATTTAATGTTCCTGTTGTTTGTGACCCTCTAACTGTGTCTTCTTCACCTTTAGATTCTACTCCGCAGTCAGCTTCTTCTTCACTGCCTCTTCAGGTTTATAGTTGTCGAAACCAATCACAACCACCACTATGTGACTCTACTCAAGTGCCAACTACTCTGTCTCCTCTAGATGTGACACCTGAGTCTGACCTTCCCATAGCCCTCCGAAAAGGTATCCGTTCTACACGTAATCCCTCTCCTCATTATATTGGTTTGAGTTATCATCGACTATCATTACCTTTTTATACATGTCTTTCCTCTCTTTCTTCTGTGACTATTCCAAAAACTGTCCGTGAAGCTTTAGCCCATCCTGGTTGGCGTCAGGCCATGTTAGATGAACTAAGTGTTCTTCATAATAGTGGAACTTGGGTATTGTTCTCGTTACCGTCTGGGAAATCTGTTGTTGGTTGCAGGTGGGTGTTTGCTATCAAAGTTGGACCTGATGGTATTATTGATCGCCTCAAAGCTCGTCTTGTGGCCAAAGGTTATCCTCAAATTTTTGAGTTGGATTATAGAGATACCTTTTCCCCTGTGACAAAGATGACTTCTGTTCGTTTATTTATCGTCATGGCCGCTCTTCAACAATGACCTCTTTATCAACTAGATGTTAAAAATGTTTTCCTCAATGGTGATTTGCAAGAAGAAATCTATATGGAGCAACCTCCTGGGTTTGTTGCTCCAGGGGGAGTCTTCTGGGATGGTATGTCGTTTTTGCAAATCCCTATATGGCCTAAAACAGTCTCCTAGGGCCTGGTTTGGAAAGTTTAGCAAGGTTGTTCAACAATTTAGTATGACTCGGTGT